CCTTACGTGATCACTAATTCCAACAACTTTTGACGATATGGTGGAATATTTTTCTTCAGAAAGTGTCAACTTTTTAACTAGGACAAACGCTTCAGTTGATTCATTGAGGTTAATTATTCTTTCAATGATATACATACTTCCGCTGATGTTTACAACTGAATTAACTCGCTTGCTGGTATCTCGGTGCACAGTGTTATATAGTTTTCCATAAATTATGAATGATTTAAAACTCTGTCCTTCTGACACGTTATAGCCTAATTTTAACATTTTTTTCTTTTCGTTTGAACTAAATATATAAATCCTTCCAGCTTCTAGTAACGTACAACTACCAACTAGAATTGATTTTAAACATAATCGTCTATTGTCCATAAGGGACTGGAAAAAGTCTAAACCACCACTTTTTGCTCAGTAATTATTTTTCTAGTGACCTGCAACCCCACGTGCTGCGTTCCCGAGAAAGATTTACAAAGGACCCCATTGAAATTTTCGAATTGGAACAAAGAATATGCCCACAAAGGACCCAAATTTTCTACGCAATCTGCAGCATGACTTAATAAATGAACATTAAATGTACAAAAGGAAAGACTATACAAATTTGGTACTACTTCATTAAATTTGAGAAGCAGTCCCCTTGCAGTTAGAATATCTTCGTGCTTGATTTGGTCTTTTGAAAGAAGGCAAACCGCCGTAACCAACTTTCCAAAATGATTTCTGTAGCAATTTGGTAAAATTCCACTTAAAATGGGAATGGAAATTAGCATCCATGTCTTCCATTCGCTGGCCTTCCAGTATTTAACGTCTTTCAGTTCACGCAATGTCCTCCGGCAGTCGTCAGGAACTTTGCAAAACTTTATTCTTGCGTTAATTTCTTGTGATCGATTTCCAATATAAAATGCTTCATTGTGCCGTTTAGAATCCAACCAGGCCAAAGTGATTGTTCTTACAACACCCAACATGCATGTATGCATGTAGTCAAATGTAAATCCTTGTACAATATCAAATTTTGGTATGAGTAAGAGTTTTGATGCAGCTTTCACTGCAAACACTGTCGGTGAGGATATTCCATTTTCTAGATTTTCTTGTAGACTTCGCAGATGATTTTTGAACTCAGCATGACTACGCCGCGTTGCTTTTTCTTTAGGGTCAAAAATCCATTTATGGCTTCTCTCACTGAGGTTAAATGTTTCCCCCCTGACTAAACACCATGGACAACTGTATTCTCCATTAAATGGGTTTATACATTGTATCTGACATCTAGCCACAGAATCGGCCGAAAACATAGAAAAAAACACTTTACTTCGATAAACTTTATTATCATTTCTCCATTCAATTCCTGATTCAGCTAACTCCTGACTCTGTTCAAGCAGGGGTCCCAAGAATGTGCCAAAATTTGGTTTTTTGGTTCCAAACCAAAGTCCGACTAGCAAGGTGTTCTTCCTTCGTAATGGATAATCCAATTCATTTATTGAGATAAGTAGAGGCCAAATAGAAAATTGAGAAGATTTAAAAATTGCAATTCCGTCAGAGTTCATTGAGCAGGTTACATATGTCTGATCGCTTAATTCCCAGATTCTTGTATAGCTTTCCATCAGGGATGTCATGAATGTCGACATCATTATGATTTGATCGTCGAGTTATATTTTTTTAAATTGATGCTTGTACTGCAACATTCTTCAAAAGATTTTCAAGCAGGTCTCTGATTTTAAAAGAGACAAAAAACTTCCCGTTCTTGATAAGACGATTTGGGTCGACTGCAGCCTGGCATGATTGGCATTGATCTGAATTATCTACCACTAATCCTTCACATTTGTCGCAGTAAATATTTTTAATTGCCGAACCAAAATCTAAACCGATTGACTTGTCCAACAAGAAAGCAGACGATGGTATTGTTGTCCACTGGAAGGTGAAAGTTGAGGAGAGGGTCATTTGTGGCAGATTGGGTTAATTTGTGGCGAATTATATAAGCAAATATTAATAGGCAACTCTCTCCTGTTGTAATTTTGGCTGTCGGACGCAATAGATTTGCAGGTTGATTCTGTTAAAAATGTTCATAATAAATCGACTAATTAATAATATGATATCCTGTATTATAGTTAGGCTCACTGAAAAGTTTTCTTTCTCATCACTTGATTCAACATTGCTGCTTTCCTCATCGCTTAGTGTTTGTTGACATTCGTCCTCCCCTTTCAAAATTTAATTTAGTGCGTTACTTTTTTTTACTTAAACAGGTCATAGTTATTGTTCATACCGGAATTTGGTCATAATTACTGAAATCGTCATTTTCTTCTACAATCTTTTCCGAAATTTCAGTTATCTGAATCTCGTCGCGATTGATTTCAGGTTGCGATATCGACCTAAGTAATGAAATCTTCTTGCTCTGTGATAAAGGAATACATCATCTTATTATGGTTTTATTTGATAATATTAATAAATTTGATTCCGCATAATTACTTTTTTTTACCAACGACACCATCCTTGCTCTAGTCCTTCTAGGAATAGGGGTTGAATATTTTTCGGCAGGGGTCAGAAAATACGCTTTATAAGATTTTCTACTTGACATAATAATAATCATAAATTAGCAAAAGACATTAATTTAGGAAAAGAATTAATTTAGGGAGACAATATATTACAACAACCATATGACGTATATTTCTTCAGAAGATGCAGCAGTCTAAATCTCGCGATGCAGAAGTGGTGGTACAGTTAACGTGTGGCATGGATGTAGTTTTTTGTTCTTGTCAACTATCTCTGTTCCAGTTTAGCAATTTATTGAATAAATTTATGAACATAGTGTAAATGGATAACTTGTTAATTGAGTGGGTGGGTGAGGACACGAGAAGTTTCTCGGTAGTGTCGATAGACAGGTTAGCTGATGGTGCATTAAAGTCATCTGGTCGAAAACTTATTGGGAAGACACTTTCAATTATTTGGACACGAGGAAAGGAGTACTTGGGAAGAATTTTAAACATTGGTAATTTCAATATTAAAGTAATTCAAAGTAGGATATAAATTATCAAACATTAAATTATTTAACAGTACAAATCAATTAAATTTAGGTCAGTTTGACGAGTTAAATGTTGAAGCAGATGAGCGAGCAGCACAGGTCAGCGTCGAGGAAATGTCACAAAAAGCCAAAGCAGGAAAGAAGCGTGGTAATTCTGGAGAAGACAATAATAAGGCGGAAATAAGTAAGGAAAATATGATGATAATTCTCGTCTATAGTTTTCGGAGTTTATGAGATAAATTAAATTTACTGTTTATGTAACAGAAACGAGGAAATCTCGCAGAAATGGATCACCTGACTGTGGTAAAAAGATTGCTGAAATCCTCTCTCAAATGGATTATCCAAATACCGAGGACATTCAAATAGCTGATCATAATGAGACCAGCGTGAACGATGAAACTTATGACCTAAATGAAGCAAGTAGTTATAAGGGTATTTTATATATAGTAGTTTCAATCATATAATCTTGGTCATGATTAATTATGAACTATGCAATTTACGATTTTCAATTCAGGAAAATACAAATCTCTTAAAATTAAATATCGTGAGCTAAAGGCAAAATATAAGGACCTGCTAACTAGGGCAGACCAGACTTCTGAGGTTGGTTAGGTTAGGTTACCTAACCTAACCTAACCAACCAAAAAATTTTTTTCGGAAAATAAACTATGTTTGAAAAATCTAGGAGAATGTAAAATTATTATATGCTCTTATAGTGGATAAGATTAATGTGGTGGTTTTGATGAATCGTTGCCTTTTTGCTCCTTATGTGTAATGCTTAGTTAATAACTAATGAAATGTCTAAATGTTTCTGATGTCCATTTATTATTTCTTATTTATCTTTGCTATTGTTCTAATGCGTAAATAAATTATTTTTTGTCATAAGTTGTTTTGTTGTCTTTATTAACTAAGATTAAGCTAAATTACATTTGTCATCCTTGAACATTACGAGAAATGGTCTTCTAGGTAGAACGTTTTCTAGTGAATTACAACTTCCATTTGACATCATATCTGAAAATCTCTTTAAAAAAGCTTAGGCTTACCTTTGTCTGTTCTCGGAAAGCTTTCAACTGACATCGCCAGGAATGACTTTTCAAAAACGCTTAGGGTCATCTTTGCATGTTTTCGAGCATAACTTTATAAGTGGAATTAGACTCATAATATAGACACTACACTTGGTTTTCAGGCAGCAGTGCCCTTGCAACTTAACTTCGTTATGGCAGGATGGAAAAATATATTAAGTTTTCGTACTCGCTATGAGGAGCGACTTTCGAGAACCAGCCTGTTCTTGTGAAGCATATCGAACTACGCCATTCTTTTCATTGTTCAGTTGCCAGTTGTTAGTTTTCTACGATCCTCTTTGTGAGCAAACGAGCGAACCAGCTACGTATAATGACATTGGGCTCAGCCCATTATGTGGTCAAGTACATTGTATGAACTCTGGGATTTGTAGCAGCGAACATTGTGCTAGTATTTGTGAAAACCTACCAAATTTTGTCTCTCACAAATGTGTGGTATGTGGCGGAGATCATAATGCTAGTTGTTTTGATTTAGCGTATCAGCCAATTTGTTCTCAGGCAAGTTCACCTCACCATTGTCACCTCAACCTGGCCCGAGCAGGCCCCGAAAACGAGCTGGTTCACCCGAAACAGGACCTAGGAAAAAACTCAATTTATCCGTTCATAAAAATAATGTTTGTCCCACCTGTCTTAAAGATTTTCCTATCGCAGGAAACTTGGATTATCACATGCAATGTGAGGATCCCGAACCTTCGGTTACCACTCAACAAGACTAGTGCTGACTGATAAGATTTTGAATACGGTTGAGGTTTATAAACTTAACGCTGAAAATTTCAATTATTCTGATATAGAGAAAATGTTTACTGATATCACTCCCGAATTGATTTCGATTTTTAGGGTCATGCCAATGTCTACGAGGTAATGCCTGTTTACTCTGCAAACTTACTACATACATATACATTCACTACAATTTCCAGAAGCATAATTTTATTTCATTTTTTCTCGAAAACACTATTTCAGACTGCTGTAGGTTTTTACAAAATAACCAATATTTGCAATCACTTATAAGTTACGTAAGGCTTATCACCACATCAATCAAAATACTTGTCATATGAATTGATTAGAGTTTAATTTGAACGAAGTTTTTTAACGCATGTGGGAAATTACATTTACCTTTTTGTTCCATGATTATCACTGCGTATTTTTCCATTGATATCCCAAGTTTAAATTTTCAGCGTGTGTGTAGCAATACGTTACTTGCAATATGTATGTAGCAATAGTGATATGCATATACAATATGAAATTTATATCTATATAACTTAACTAGGAATTTAAAAAAATGTTCAATAAATTAAAATTGTCTTTTTATAGCCCAACTTCTGGTAAGTATAACATTGATTCTGTCATGCAATGAAATTGTCGGAATATATGTAATTGATATTTTGAGTAATTATTTTAACTTGAACCTATATACATATAATAAATATGTACTTATTTTCCAGTGTGAGTAAAAAAATATTGAATAGATATTTAAGGGGATTTATAAAGCATGGCAGAATTTTACATAACTAGTTACATGCATATGTAACTAGTACATGAATATAATAAATACAGTTCACTCCCAATTTATTATTTTCCTCCTTCTTCACTATCAATTTCTTGCAATTTGTTAGATTTTACCATCTCATAAAAATCGGATTTTAAATTTAGCAAGTTACTTATTGTGTCAAACTGTTTAATTCGACCACCTTGTAGGACCATAATCCTTTAAAGAAAATATAAATCAGTTCTTTACGTCGTTTTCTGAAAATGTGCCACCAACCTGTCACAGTCGAGTAAAGTTTTAAAACGGTGTGCCACAATTAAGACGGTTGAATTCTTAAATTGTTCCTTGACTATCTCTTGGATAAGAAGTTCAATATTTTTATCGCAATTTGCCGTTACTTCGTCCAAAACCAGGAATTTTGGTTTCTTTAAAAGTGCTCGAGTTAAGCAAAGTAATTGTTTACAGCCAGATCTACATATAATCAAATTTATGTAATGATTTAGACCAATATGGAATATAAATACGAATTTATGACTATTACGTAATTCTCGTGTCATCCGGTGTTACATGAAAATACAAACCGTGAGGAAGATTGAATACAAATTCTTTTAAGTTAACTGTATCTAGTGCGTTCCACAATTCATGGTCTGTATAACATTGCACAGGATCCAAATTAAAACGAAGACTTTCCGAGAAAAAAGTAGGTTCCTGCATTGTAGATTAAAATATTAAAGAATTACGACCAAGAAAATTATTTTTACTTTAAATACCTGAGGAACAATAGCAATTTTAGAACGCAAATTATGCATTGATAATTGTGATGTGTTTAATCCGGATAATGCAATTTGACCCTGGATTGGTTCTAACAACTTAAATATGGCCATTAGAAGAGACGACTTTCCAGCTCCTGATCTCCCAACTGTAGCAGGAACACAGGAAGGTTAGTTAATTTATTGAAAATAAATAAATTTGTGGATTAAAAATTTTATCGTCTCACCGACTCCGATCTGAAATTAAGTTGGAGGTTTCCGAGTTTTAATTTGATAGGTTTAATTTATAATAATTTTATATACCTTTTCCCCACTTTTTATTGCACAACTCTCAATTTCTAAGATAGGCTGAGAATTTTGCTCGTAACGCAGTTGCAAATCTTTTATCAAAAGTTCACCAGTTTCTGGCCAGACTTCGTTAACTTTGTCTGGACAAGCGTCACAATTTCTTTCCTGTTCGACATACATATTTTTTAAATGTGCGAGTATATCTCAATTTTAAAAAATTACCTGCGGAATTAACGTCGTATTTACAACTCTCTCCACAGCTACAATATTCGATTCGAATTCGCTGGTTAATTTTACAAAATAATTTAATAACTGAGTTATTTGCAAAGCAGAAGATAGCGATAATGCGACGACAGCCGGACTTAAAGTATCTTTTGAGATTATGGCAAAAACACAAGTTCCTGAAACTATCAATGTCCCAAGAATATCCAGCCTTGCTTTAATCCACCTTGTCAAAATTGTACCGGATTTAGCGCACATTTAACTGCATTACATATATGTATGAACATAAAATTCTTGAAACTTACAATGTCCCAGCCATGTATAGAAAGTAAGCCTTATTATTTTCTAATAAAGAATCCTGGATCTCTCTCATTGTCTCATGTTCAATTCCAAACGCTTTAATGGAACACAATCCCGACAGCGTTTCCAGAACTAGGCTATAAAGTGGGGTCCTAGTTAATGATTCATTTCTCCTTAAATTTGTGGATGTAACGACGTATAATCTCTATAGGGAAAAAATACGTACTAAAAATAATCAACAATAAATTCGTCAATATTTTGTACCTGAAGGAAATAATAAATTATCGCAAGTGGTGCCACAAACACAAGAAATATCGGGGTTGCGTAACAGGTCGTGAATATTGCGCTTAAAAGGAGTAGAAAGTTAAGCACGGTTCCTTGCATATTTTGGGGAAAACTTGACTCCAAAATATCGACATCTTTGGTCAACACGTTTAACAGTGATCCTGCACCAATCTTATTTAGGAAATGTATCCGTCCGTTTAAAACTTTTAGGAGGAGAATGTCATACAAATTTCGGGATGCTTTTAGCGAGAAATTGTATATATATAGGCATCCCAGAAGTAATAAAATGGCTGCAAGATTTAATTTATAAAGACTTGTTGAAAATATTCAAGTTTTGACTTTTAATTTGGCCAATATTTCTTATCGATAAATCATTACCTTGAACTAACCCTACTGATCCATAAATGGTTATGTTGGTGGCTGCAGATTTTATCTGAGTGCTGTCATCCTGCCCACTCCACATAGATAACCAGACATTGGAAAATGTATAAACGGCTGAATTGGCAAATAAATATGTGAGACATATTTTATTAAAATGAGATACAAACACTTAAATATTTTGTAGGATTACCAACAGAACAAATAACCAACGTTATCCCAATGGTCAACCTTGTTACACCCCCTTCACGCAAATAAAGGGATTTCTTAACGAGTAGCCGATCCTCTCTCGGCTTGATGGATTCTGATAAATTACCACCATCGTTACATTGAGGAAGTGCATCATAAGTTGGAAAAATATCCATCTCATCATCTTCACCAAATTTGGACGAAGTCCGCTCTCTGTAGATGGTTCGATTAGGTCCGAAATATTTTACGGCTCCATTATCTAATTCTAGGACAATGTCTGCATCTGCAATCAATCCGCCATAGTCGGTCGCAACTATTCGCGTTTTCTCCTTTAATAATCCATCCAAACTTAGCAATTTTGTGTAAACTTTATTTGCCGTTTGTCCATCCAGGGCACTCATGGGCTGGTCCATGAGGTAGATGTTCGACCCAGAGTAGGCCGCACGGGCGAGAGAAATTCTCTGCCGCTGACCACCCGATAGGTTAGACCCGTTATCTAGGATTTCTGTATCATCACGCATTGGCAAACAAGATAGGTCAAGTTCGCATGCATTTATTACGTCGAGATACGTCTCCTTATTGAATGGGTTATGGAGTAAAATGTTTTCTTTGATGGTGGTCTTCCTTGTCCATGTGGATTCAGGAACGTATGCAATTTTCCCCTAGAAATGGTTAAAAAAATTCTTCGATTTTTATATCAAAAGGTATTGATCACAAATTATAAATGCGTACATTGACATCTATCTTGCCCTTAGTAATGAACATATTTCCTGACATTGCTTGTAACAAAGATGATTTTCCAGATCCAGATTCACCAACTGCATAATTTCCATGATATGTAAGTATTTCTTGTTATAAATTTGTGAAAATTACAAAATTTAAACCTATCGCGACAAGAGATCCAGGTGGGATAGTAAAATGTAGATTTTTTAAGATAGATTTCTTACTGTCCCAGGAGAGGTATGCATTCTCAAATTTTATAGATGTGTCATCTACAGAAATAAACTTCAATTTAAATATCTGTAATTGGTATTTATCCAACTATATTTTCTCACCATTCGTAACTTTATCGGACTTTACATAACTCTTATGTGTCTTAAATTCTTCCAAATTTAGAAACTTGTTTATCCTCTTAATACTCACAGTAGTTTGAGATAACAGCATGGCAAGAGCTGGCACGCTGGGGTTTAAAAAAATATGGGCTTTAGAGCACATAATGTTTCATAAACATGTCAGATAAATATCAATATCTTTACGTTAACAATGGTACTGTAATAATATTAATGATTGATAATGCCGCAAACATTATCCCTGCATTGATTGGCTCCCCATCCAGACTAGATTTCATGACCAGTACGACAAGCAATACGATGACGGGTGCCACGGTGAATGAGGTAACCATGCAGCCCAATCTTGTCAAAGAACCCCATATTGCGTCCAGTTCTAATTGTCGGGCTAGTCCTATTTTCTTTAAGAAAGCTTCATTCCACGCGTGCAGTTTGATCGTCTAAGGGTATGTAAATAAGTAATTAGGTCGACAAAAATTCACCGTTTTGTAAATTTATACAAACACAAACTAGAGGAAATTTATGCATGTGAGAAACATTTTTACTTTTAAGTTTTGGATCGTTTCTGACACAATTTTTACTCTTGAATCCTGCGCTTTCATTTGGTCGGTTTGTATATCTTTCAGTTGTCTCATTAATAATGTGGTTAATAAAATCAGCATGAAAATTATGGATACAGCAGCGAATGCGGGGTATCCAAGAAGGTTGTAGAGAAAATATGTGGCAACAATTGTTTGAATTGGAGCGATCCATAAGGTGTGGAGGAGGGGAATTACGTGACAAATTTTTTGCGAGTCGGCCCCCATTATATTTAGCAAAGTACTCCTGGTAGTGTCTAAAAAATAGGATTTTTTCATATTTCACCGCGTATCAAATAGAGTTGAAAATTTGTACTTGATTTTGCTGACGTACCAGTGGATTCTGTGATACAAATTCTTAAAGCTTTTTGAATCACGATAGAATGTAGCATTGACCTGCACTTGATAGATATTGCGGTCACATTTTTCCAGTAAAATAATCCTAAAATGTTCCTCGCTATCAGAGATGTGATTAAGGCGGTGACGTAAAAGTAGTCCTTCCACGTAGTTTTGTCCATTGTGTCGGTAAAATGAGTGACCATTATCCTAATTTTTGGATAAGGTAATGAAAACTTCTTTCTAAGTGTTTTCCTTAATTTATTTGGTATACCTTAAGATTTCTGGCGCAGAAAATGCCAACATCTCTTGGCAAATCCTCTGCAGTCCTGATATAACGAATTGCTTGCCAAACGAGGCAAAAAATAAACTAATGGCGTTATACGATGTACTAAAATTAAGTTAAATATTAGACGTAGAAATTGTTGATGAATATTTATAGTACCTTTCAGAACTATTTGTACTTGTTTGATCACTGAAATGGCCATTAGCTTGAGAGTAGGTTTCTTTTAAATCGAACGGTTTCAAATGAAGTGACTTTTTCTTGAAGGATTTCCAAAATATTTTATCCATCCAAAAATTAAATATTGTCAAATCTTGGGTTAAATTGTCCCTTGTCTTTTCTTGGCTTGGCTATCAGAAATTTTACAAATTGTACTTCCTACTAAGATTTAAGTATTGCTGGAGGTCATACTTTCATTGACTGCCAGAAGTTACGTAATCCCATCAATAGCTGTAGTGCATTTTCCACTGCCACTAATGGAAACACCATGTACCTAACAAAGTGTGCTTTTCTAATAATCGAGTCTTGAACTTCATTCCATTTAGTTACGGCACTTCTTAAAAGAACTCCTTCCGCGATGAGGCACAGACTCCAAAATAACATCTGAATATAGGAGAATTTTATACCCTTCCGTTGTAGGCTTACCATTAAACAAAATGCCAAGGTCTGCAAAAATCATTAAAAATTACAATAAAAGAAGTAACTTGTTTTAAATTTTTATCCTACAAAGCTCAAAATCCGGCTAGTCGTAGAAACGTATAATATTCTCATCTCATAAATTGTTTTTCCCTCCTGGAATACTGAAGATATCGATGTCGTCAATAGTGCTGTAAATATTCCAATTTGAATACAAGTTGTACAACCGAATCGAACATTTTTTCTAGCTGCATTTTCATCTTGGCGCGTATTAAGAATTGTGACGAGTCCAAATATAAGTATGCATATTAACGGAATGGATAAAATGACAGTCTCCTCAAAACAAAATGTGAAGTAGGGAGACGTTGTGTGCCACGTTAGGTTTGTATTCTGTAAAGTATTACATATAACCGCTAATTATTGTTAAAGAAATCAATATTAACTATTTAAGTATGTTGTTACCCAGAACGTGGATCCGCAAAAGTCATCCATTTTTACCGCAAATTTGTTAATTTTTTAAATACGTACCAATTTTCCTAATCGTTCGTGTTTAACAGGGTTCTGAACCGAAGTATATGGTTCAAGATATCCTGGAATATTGAAAAGTGTATAAAGTAAGTTTATGCCGTTGGCACCAGAAAGGTATCACGTACTCCTATTGTAGCACTTGAGATATTGTAATTGCAGATAAATTAATCAAATCAGGAGACGTGTAGTTGGTTGGTTGGTTGGTATTCACTTATTCACATATTATTCCTTGATCAATACAATTTAATGATTAGTATACACACAGTAGTATAAGTAAAAAGAAAAGAAGAGATTGAGTAACGAACGTTTAACAAACGTTTTGTGTACACACCGTTGATATTAAATCAAATATTTTAAACCATTGAATAAATTTAGGTTAAAAGGGTTCCCAATTCAAATGTACACATTTTTTTCTTTTTCTCATAAGAATTTACGTGATTCAACTGCGTACATTTCCAGATACTTTTACTTTTTGCCTAAAGTGGGAACTTTAGGCAAAAATTGTTAGTAAAACCTATTAGATGTTTCTTCCAAAACTTTCCTGTCATATTTTAAAAGATGAACTAACAAATCAAGATTTTTTTATCGCGTTCTAATCTACAACAACTTTTTTACCTGCTGGTAAAAGTTTATTCCAGACTACATATTTAAATTAATGGAATTATAAAATATCTTAAAAAACGTATTTTATAGTAATTTTCTTGTGATTTAGACATACAGCAGTGCATATCAGAATAGAAATAATATAAGATTATTATTTTGTGCATATAAATATGTATTGTGTTTTTGAAATTTACGCTTCCTTGCATTATCCCCGTTACATTTTACGTTACGTTACGTTTAACCCCCAAAAGTCTCAAAATTTATTTGAAGGTTATTATTCCAGCGGAGTCATTTTAATACATTATGCAATCAACGATGGGATTTTATTAATGCGAACACAAATTACTTACTGACATAATTACCTTCACTTAGTTGGCGTGGGTTTACCCAGTCCGAAATTCCATTTAGTTGTCACCATATATTCAAGTGGAACAACTTATCACTTTTTGATTGATTGGCTTGTGACCATGTTCATAAAGTTGTAGATAATCTTGTTAATGTTATATATGTATGTAATTTTTATGAAGAGCGATAATAACTAGTGTATATAAAATCGTTAAATTCAACCTGAACTGTGTCAAAATGTAATGTATATTTGTCCAGACTTATTGCCTAATCAAGCCTCAAATTTCAGTAAAACCCATAACAACATGTTTTAACCAGTTTTGACAGCGACAATTAATTAGGCACTTGATTTCAAGTTGATGAGCAACACAATTAATTGACAATGGTGCCACAAAATTATATGATAAGGGTCATCACAAGATTTATATACGTATGTAATTACCAATTCATCAAATCATTACTATTACGTATGAATAGCGTATGAATTACGTATGAATAGCTTATGGCCATATCAAACGTAAATAAATTGATTGACTGATTCAATTGAACTTGGCCCACAACGTCAACTCAGCTGCAAACCCTCCGATCCTACTGATAAGTGAGCAAAGTACATATTTCAACTTGAAATTTTCCACTAATTCTCAATATATACGCAATCATTCGATTTTATCAAGAGGGGAATTCAATTAACCTCAAGTGTTTCCAGCGGCACAACTTCGTTGAGAATTGATTAAAAACAAAATGTCACTGAAATCTTTCTTATCTGTTTGGCTGACTGTCACAATTATTGGAACCGGTTAAATCCAGCACACGGGTATTTAAGCGAACCAATATTTATATTTTATTCAGTTCCTAACTTTGCAACCGATAAGACAAGACATAAATAATGAAAAAAAATACTTTGGTAGTTCTGCTTCTCCAATTTCATTTGGCATTATGGTCCACACCATGCGACGCTAAAGAAGAATATGTGAGTAATTTTTTGAACATAAAATTAACTATAGTAAATTTGTATCAAATTACTACACATTATTACATTTAACCGAGGGCACACATATTCAACGTAGAGGGTTAGATATTTAGCTTACGCACTTTTAAATTCCCATTCGACTGAAAGCCCTGCCTTCATAATTACCTTTTGAGGAGGCAGGGCTTTCAATCGACACCAAATATGACTTATTTTACGACATTCGACATGATTTCGCCAAATTGTCGAATTCGAAATAAACGTCTGACCTTGGCGACACAAAATAGAAAAAGATCCTTCGCTACAACCAGGTAAACCTTTCATAAAAATTTGGTGAGAATTGGACGAGTAGTTTCGTCACAGTGAAAGGATACATATAGGGATGTAAGTGACCGATTTCCCCCTTTACACCACATGTGTGTGGCGAAATATTTTAAAAACCCAAAAAATTGACCAGACTAGACGCCGTTGACTTAGCTAAAACCAAAAAACAACAGAAAAAAATCAAATGTTTTTCATGTTACATTAATCACGGAATGCGTCAATGGTAGATTTTGGCCAAAAGCCCACAAGCTAAAATTTTATAGAATTGGGTTGGGAAACCTGATGAAAATGGGAAATTTATTTTTCTGATCTCACTTTGACCTTCCTACCTTTCTCCATTTGAACATTACCTAACCACTTTTTGGGTAAAATCGGAAAACACATAATTCATATAAAATAACGTTTCTTTTAATTGTAGATGGGAAGTCTTTCCATTGATGGCCCAACAAATCAGACACACCTCCTTCAGCTGCGTGAGGATGGTATATCTTTTTACTGTGCTTTGAATACATATTTATATCAATTTCACATGTACGTGTTTCGATTTTATATATTTCGCTACAAATATGTACAGATTAGAAGCAACATTGCAATTTCAAATTCATGTGAATAACATAGGTTTAGACTTAATTGCCTGCATGGTTTTGATAAAAACACAAACACACACACACCGTTTTCGGCAGTATTTATTGGTCAAGTGTATAAGAATAATTTTAATTAGCCGGCAACCATGGCAGTGCGGCCCAAATTCACTTACAGTTAGTAAATCCAAAATTTCGTTCTTTACAATAAAGATTTCAATTATTTAATCACGTTCAGGATTTACTAGTATTTGAATGGATAGAAATTTTCTCGAAACAGTGTTATGGTTAGTCGCAGGAACAGTTAATTATATTTAGATAGAAATTTTGTCAGGGCTCCATGTATAGTGGCTTAAGTTATTATAATCAATACCAAACCAGAGTAAAATGAGGTCGTTTCAAAAATATATTGTTATGTCAAAACAACAAATATTCAGAAACCAGTACTGTAGCATGCACAACAAGACATCCTCACTTCAAATTGAGATAGCTTTGTTAATTTTACTCCAATTTACAAAACCTTTGAAGCACACGAAGTGACATTAAATTATACATTATAAAATCAACTCGTGCCAGTACATGTAGTAACCGGAAGTTTGTAAAAAATTATTGCGAAAGTTTGAAATAGATTTAAAACACGGCAGACGTAAGTTGCCGATACGTTTTACCTAAAAGTACAATACCTGCCCGATGTATCTGCACGAAAGGGTACTTGCAAAAATATGATAGGGTGAGCCGTTTAGGATGTATGTAGAGCGCCGTCAATTTTAGAAGGTTTCAAAAATTAGGAACGAGGAATTTCTACGCAGATAGTTGCTATATTTTTATGCCATGTTTCAAGGACGTCAGTGCAGTAGATCATATCGAAATTTGAACAACTAAGGTGTAGCAATAATTGTTTAACATACCCTATAGTAAGTCTCGTTTCATAGGCTTTTACAGTTTTATTTGTTTTATTTTTTCAGTTCTTCAACATGTTTTATTTTCATGATTTATGTACACATGGTCCTTTATATTGGCCATTTAAAATTTCAGTTTGCCCATGCCGTGGTAATGTAGGCCGTAAGGATGTGATTAGCAGAATGTGTATGAGGTTGAGCAAAATAATTGTAAATGGTCACAATATCTTCTAAAGGTTTGGAATTTTACCCAATTTATAAATTTGTTTTGCATAGTTGTCGTCCCTTACTCGTTCAATGTTCTGTATCAAGTCTAAATAATTTGAAGATAGGTAGCCACCGTGATTTCTTTGGAATTAAAATATAGTATTTTTCTCTATATATATTCAAATAACTATGATATTTATTTGGTTTCTTCAATCTTGTGTGCACTACTCTTCCAAGACGAGTGAACGAATTGAAATGAAACTTGGCACAATAATAGTCGATATATTGTAGATGATTCTAAGATTTTCAAATATTATCAATTTTGAGTAGTTCCGATTTTAAGATATTTTATGGCCGACACTACCGGATTCAGTGACTTTGTTTATCAGATTTGTTGGTATAGCATTTACTAACTCTAGACTGCACTAACCAATTTTGATGAAATTTGGTAAAAGCATGTATCCGAACAATGCCAAGAACGAGTTAGAAAATATATTCAAAAAATATTAAGACCGGTAGGGGTCTGGTGTTGGTCAGAATATTAGAAATATTAATCAAAGTAGAAATTTAGTAGAAAATTGGTGCTGAATGTCCTGGTATATGAATTGAAACCTAATCTAAACCCAACTGGGGCAAATCTGATTATAATATGTTCAAGGTATATAATTATCAGTGTGGTGTGGCATGCAAAATTGTAATACGAAATATACTCGATTTAAAATGTCCTTATGGATTGGTCAAAATGGAGGAATATGTGCATGTCAGCATAAACGACAGCTCTCGTTAAACGCAACATATCCACTTAATCCACTTAAAATGTGCACATATGTATCACTAATCAATTTTTTGTGAATAGTAAGTTCGGAAATGAGCAGTGATTGACCTGTGGGGGTCATTGAGGCCGTGAGGATACTCAACCCTATTTTATTCCGTCCAATTTTATTTTTCTACTTCATTTAAGTAAAGCTTAAATAAGTGCAAATATTGACAAAATCGGCCGGGTGGGTGACCGGTGGGGACTTCGTAGGTGGTGAGGGTGTTATGAACCATTTTTTTTCAAATTTCAGCCCTCTACGAATATTTTTATACTCTGATTCTTCCCCACGCTGTAAAAATTACCCGCACTGGACCAATTTGGCCCATCGACTAACTTGGTTCTTAATTTTACGTTTCAAGTAGGTATGTGCCAAATTTTAAGTCGATCAGGTAATTTTTGTGAGAGTTATCATAGGACGGGTACAGTATATAAGCCGTTGGTCGGGCTATTAAGCCATTTTAAAAGGCCCCTCGAAGTTATTGAAATGTTAAATTGTACAAAATTTACGAAGGATCCTACCGTTAAGTGGCTTTAGCACTAAATAATAGGGATATTTAGCACATTCCTCTGCCTTATAAAACCCTACTGTAATGCATTGTTTACACAAAATGCATCGTACTATGCTGAAATACTTAGGATTATTGCCTGCACAGTACCAACAAATGTGACATCATAATTATTTTAATGAGTTATTGCAGAAAATTAAATGGTTTTCTGCAAACAAAAAAATTTGTTTTTTCTTAAAAATTTAAAAATTTATTTTTAAAATCCTTATTTTTTTCTGCAAACGACTCGTATTAATCAAATACAAAATACAGAAAGTTGAAAATACATACAATTATATTTAGGACTGGACACACTAATGTCCAGAAAAAATGCAGAACGAATTTGATAAACACATTGCAGAAATGGCTAACAATATTATTTTTCATAGGTGTAGATGATCCAGATATTGACCCCGTGGAGGAATTAATGTACTTTCTGGATCTGGGTGAACGCGAAATACAACTAACAAAGCACAGGAATATTGTTTTACTGGTGGGATTAACGGGAACTGGAAAAACCACTTTACTACAGTTTGCGGCAAATGACAGCAACCGATTAACGTCCGTTGAAAAATGCCCAGGTTGTGGAGAATACTATCTTCGGGATGAAGGAGGCTACGTCGGAAACCAGAGTTTGGTTTCACAAACATTTTTGCCAAACTTTCTCTACAACAATTTAATGGATACTGCTCTCTATGATTGTCCTGGTTTTGATGATAACAGAAATACAACAGTATCAATTGCTAATGCCTACTTCATCAAAAAAATAACTAATCACGCTCAAACCGTTAAAATTGTTGTTGTTGCAACACATGGGTCATTGGACGCTTCAGATCGAAGCTCTTTTCCTAAGCTGTTGACTAACTTACTGGTTCTATTGAAAGATCCGAGTAAAATTTCGGATTCTATTGCCATAATTGGAACAAGCAGTACCCCAGTCCACTTACAACCATTCAACTTTATCAGTAAATACAGCTACTTTATTGACACCGAAGCCAGAAGATATATCGACGAAGTATACGACGAGCCACGAAAAACTAAGGCTTTGCAATTAATCGACTCTTTCTTGCACAAAAATACGAATGGTAATTATACGCAAATCGGATATTTTAGAGCCCCAAGTAGTTCAGGCCCACTGGAGATGATGGAAGAATTCATAGGAAACAAAGCATTTGTTCGGTCCCTTATAATAGACGAGCTCCAATACGCACCTACAACATCGGATGATTTTGGTTATTCACCGGGTGAGGACGCTAGATTTGTAATAGTTGGCCTTGCAGGCAATGTAAGCATATTAATTAGGGAAGAATTAAGAAATTTTACAACTGAGGAAACCAGAATTTTTGTAACTGAACTACAAAGGCTATTCGACATAGGTGACTCGGATAAAATTTTGTTGAATAAGCTCAATCTTCTATTCAATGTCACGTTCCCGATAACAGAGAATGGCAATGCAGACTTTTTTTCTAATTATACAAATGAAATAATTACAAACGCTGATTTATTTAGCATGAGTTCCATTTCAAGTCTTAACTCAAGTTTGGTGAGATATACAAATTACTTGGATATCTTAAAGATGGTTAGCGAATTTACGATCGATCAATCAAACTGGATTACTCCAATCTTAGCAATGCGTTCCGAAGTAACACTCACTATTAACCCCTATTTATCACAAGCTAACATTGATATAAAAGAACTAATTGAAATTTTCTCGGCAAATGTACAAGAGAGTGTGCAATCAGATATCGACAATCTGATTAACCAGAACTCCGACGCAGAAGAATTTATAGCAAGGCTTCAGTCAATTTCAATGTCTACGTATCCCATATGCGAGGGTCCCAGTAGGCAAATATCTTCTTGTATTTCTCAAATTCTGTCCAACACTAATGGCTTTGGAGGACAGCACTATGCTTCATTTAACGCAACCTTAAGTCGGCAGGCGGAAATTTTGAAAGACCTTGAAATGGCGTATGATAAAGACACTGGACTCTTAAATCCTGCTCAATGGGTATTGGCTTTAATTAACTTGGGAAATAATATTATGTTGAAGATACCTGACATAATAATTGCTTTCAATCAAATTGTCAAATATGAAGTTGAAAAATTTGCAAATTCGACGCAAGTAGCGCTCACAAAACAACTAGAGATGTTCATAACAGATGTGGAACAATTTCCGGACGAACTTGTGTTTCTACAATCTGCAACGTATCCAATTTGCGAGTCTGATAGTGCATCGTCGTTCAACATGTATACTGGGGAAATTCTGAACGAAGCGCAAAAATTCGCTTTAACCGACTTTGAAATTATCAACTCAGCGCTTTCAAGGTTTGGAGAACTGTTTGAGTCTATTTACAGAATTTCAGAATTTAACAAAGCCTACGTTACTCCAAACCTTTGGATTCTTCCTTTGAAGGGTTTAAACATAACTATTGCTCAGACTATCAATACAGTGTCATCTGATATTGCACGCATTGTCACAACTACCTCGTCACAAACTGCAGCAGAAATTGATACTCTCTTCCGTAATTGGTTCATCCAATTTTACCAAACCCAAGACCTACCTCATCCAAATTTTGAAAACTTCCTCGGCAACCTTACAATCGTAACATATCCCACATGCACAAATCAGACCCTTCCAATCCAATGCATATCAGAAATGATAAATGGCATTAAGGCAGTCGGATTACCCGCTGATAGCAATCGTATAAGTCGGCTTCAAACAAATCATGCGCAGTTCCAAAGAATCATGGATGTCGGGTATGAAATTCATATCGTAAGCAGACCTTGGGTTGAAAGTCTACTTCGAGTCTATCCAAATATTCAGAGGTTTGTGTCAGATGATATAGTCCAACATATTATACTACAGGGTGCGACAAGCATTGGAAATGTGACAGACTCCTATAAAAAATTCATTTCAGAAAAACTAAGGGATGTACAATCGATAGGAGAGCAAGAAACTGAGGTGTACGGATTTGAGCGAAAGGTATTTACACTGGTTCAGAGAGCAGAAGAAAAATATAACGAATCAGCTACAACAGCAGTTGCATTTATGCAAACCTTAGTGACACAATTCGAAGACGTTTTTCCTGCTATCACGAATGAGATGAGAGAAAGAATTCAGAGGAGTATGTCACTATTTCGTGTCCTGCAAAAACTTCCCCAACTACCTTGGAGATCAGAAGTTTGGTTTATCAAAATTTATTCTTTAAAAAGCGCAATAATTTCTGAAACTACGTGGGTAACGTTTTTGCAAGCATTGTATAACGATCTAACTAAATACAACACCCAAATTAAATCTGATAGTGGAGTAGAAAGAAAGATTCACGGATGGTGGCGAACTTTTGGCCAAATCTCTCTAACAAATTTTAATGAATTCTGGAACTATTTAAAAAACGAAGGTGTCCCAACAATGACTCATGGTAATATGGACATTGTTCGTAGCGTCTTGAACTCTTCTGATGGTACACACAAGATTGCGCAAATTAACCAATTTTTAAACACGATATTTCCTCCAGTACCTACTTGCGCCCATTCAAATGGAATTCTGAAATGCTTTGGAGATTTTCTTTCGTTTAACGAAATAATTCGGTCTACTAGCAACACGTCACCTCCACACACAGTTGTAATTTTGGCATTTAACACATTATTCATTGATTCTCGATTTTCTGGATCGCAGATTAACGTAAAAAATAATATCAAAATTTTCTTGATGGCACCCAAAGTCAACCTTCGTACGAACGACCCGTTTGACTTAGCTGGAGCTAATTCGACTCAGAATTCTGAACATGGAAATAACGCTGGATCAGCATTTTATATATATGACAGTCTTGAAGGAGGTGCATTTAGATTTTCAAATTTAACTGGCGGGACTGGAGCATCTGGGTTAAATGGAACTAACGGAGGACCTGGACAAAAGGGTCTGACAAAATCGTTTTCTATGGGCGCAGACTGTCACGCATGGTCTGGGGGCTATATTAGAATTACAATCTATCCAAATAGTTGCAACAGAAACTCAGAGGAGACATGTCACGCAGGCAATTCCGGTGTGAATTTCACAATTGATGGAGGAGCAGGAGGTCGTGGCGCCAATGGGGGTCCAGGGGGGAATGCAGGTGCTGGAGGATTTCCAGGTCAACTTTCGACGGTGGACGTGAATATCAACAATGCAATTGCAATAAGCAAAGGAACATGCGGAACCAACGGAGCACGCGGGATTGGGGGTTCGGGTGGACTTGGCGGATATTATGGAGACACACTACGAAGGTGTGTTGATGACGTGTCTAGTGGAACTCAAAAAGTGTGTCAGCAAGGAGGCTGTAGTTCAGCCACTTATCCCAATGTACCTTTATTGATACGGGGGCCTAGTGGAGAAAGGGGAAGTGACGGCATCGTTACCAGTAATGGTTGTACTACATCATACGTGCCATGGCCAACTGCAGAAATCAAACCCTACTATGATGGATATTTCACTCAATCTGAAACTATAAAAAACAACTTTTTCATGGGACAACAATTGAGTACGTTTCTTGCAAAGGCACGCTCACACACTGGATTAAGAAACATGTTTAACTAAAGTCCCTCTTTGGCTTTATTCCTTTTAAAACTTAAATTTCCGATGGCACAGTTATTGCTGAATTGTGTCAATTTAAAACAATCTAGATAAGGATTTCAAAATTTCTATAGAAAATATTTATCCCATATTGTTATTAAAATTTCGTTACAAATTTAATTGTTTGTGGACCGATGTATGTATTTACTGTTAAAATATCATGGCATGTGCGAATATGTAACTATTACAATACATCTATTTTAATTATTATTTTAAGTAGGGATAAATATGTACGGCGCTGGTCGTTTAGCTTTTTCTTCAAATAACGATATACATACGTATGTACATGAAGATTCTGCATATAATTCTATGTACTCTATTGAAATAAATAAACAAAATATTCTTGCACAACATTTTGTAAGGAAAGCACTTGTCGGTGATTTTTTTGGTATTCATCGTATTCCCGGTAAATTTTCAATAAGTGTTTATGATTGCATCTACTAAAACATTTTGGCATCATTGTACAATTAATAATTTTATAAGACTTGCAAAATACTTAAATAATTATAAGTAGCAAATCAAGGTTAGCTCACTATTTAGTGTAATTTAATAAAATAAATAATCCAATGAACCGTAATTTTCCAAAGCTAATTTATGCCTGAAAAAAAACTAGGTGATTTTATTTATTATATTTTATTATTCAGATTGGGTGCAGGAAATGTTGCCTTATACTAGTTTTAAATACAAATCTTTCTAAGAAATGTGACTCCGTGTGACATTCCTGATATATACATATATTCTGTATTTTTTCATTTTTTATCAAAAGATTTTTAAAACTAATATGTATGTAGCATTAATACACGACGTGTATTAATGCTACATGTGTAATTAAATATGTAAAATAATACAGAGCATTCATTCGTCACAAAGTACAATTCCATAGTAATATTCTCCAAGAAGGTACAGATTTAGTATTAGCAAATATTACGAGATTGATGGATTTCCTTTCGAAATATTTAAATACGTAATATGTATTCATCTTACATATGACAATTGTTTTTTATTCAAACAAAATTAAATACATATACGAAAGACCAATCAGTTGGCTTGGGGAGCAGTGGGAAAACCCAAAGATGGTGAAATGGGAAAACCACTGCTTGAAGTGGACAACTGACGATCCAGATATGTATATGTATATGTATGTATGTATTTGTATTGATGTAAACGATAAACTTCTCATTAGAAAGATCATAAATACGGTATTTGTCCATGATATTTATTCTTCCACCTACCATCCTAGTATATGTTTGACTATTCGACATGACCGGGTGTGGTCACTAATTGTGGAGAAATATTAAAGACGAGAAAGAAATTCTAAAGTTTTGTCCATTGCTGGGCATCACTACTGTGGTTTACTTTATCCAAAGGCATGTAAAAAAAGCTTGATTTTTATGCCTTCCATATCCAAATGATACTCAAGCTTTGTCTTATGAGTGGACGGAATGCATATTTTTCTACTCCCCTTACCCTGTAAAACACAGAAATCTTTTCTGTGTACAACAAAGGCATTGTAGAGTACGGTTAGGTTATTTGTTACAGGATTTTACACGATTTGACTATTGATAAGCAATTGTATTATCGATTATATAAGTTTCAGCATTGATTCTACTTTTATTCATATATGTACCGTCAAGCGTAACAAGCTTTGTAAAGAAGCAAGTTTGATGTAATAAATAATAACAATAATAATACGGGAATTGGAACTTATTTACGGCTCAACGCTGACCTCTGATAAAAGTTCAGTCTCCAGTTGATCCAGTTGATCCAGTGAAAAATTGCATTTTTCATGTGTCATTTCACTGCCGATTATGACAAACAAGAAAACTTAATATTATTATATAGCTAATAAATAACTAGATTTTAGCCGACTAGTGTCAGTGCAAAGTCCACTTAAAAATATGACCAGTCGTTTCACAAGCTCAATAAAATTAATAAGTGTATCTATAATTATAATTATTAATAAGTATAATAATAAGTATAATATGTACATACACCACCACCACCACCATACATATCCGCCACTCCAAATTTTAAGTTTTTTGAAAGTTTTTCGAGTAAAACGCGGACCCCAAACCCGCGGAAAGTGTTGTTCTCCTCCCAAGGGACCGGGCTATGAAGTGCAAATAGTGGTTCGAGATGCAAGACCTAGTTTGACCTGTTTTTGTGAACAAGGGAAAATCACCTCATCCCATACTACCTAACTAACCTGTTTTCGTGAAGTGGACTCGTCCACACCGCTATTGATGATGGGATATCGTTACTGAGGGACCGTTCATAAAAAAGAAAAACCACTTATATATATATTGAGATAAGTCATTTATTTTAAAAGTGTATGTCCTCCGGAGGTCCTTCCATTATTTAAAATTGAGTCCTAAGATACTGGCACGCAATTCTATTGTGAAACAGCACGACCGCGACCCCTGACTCCACACCACGCTGGGAACCCACTCACCAGTCACAAGGCTGTCCAAACACTTAGATAAGCCAAAACTGAATTATGCTGCCCCACGTACAAAATATGTTCGACAAATTCCTCCCACTCGCCCACCCCACAACCAAGGTTATCATCGTGGATGGAAATATGGACGATTGCGAATTATACCAATACCAAAACTACGAACTGTGTGACGAGGACGAAAGACGAGCCGAGGGTCCAGAATGCCACCTCTGTGGCGAAGCCATCGTGGATATAAATAACCCTCTCACTTATGAAGACACCACCTACAGTATAGTCTACAAGGACGACTTGTTAGCCGACGACTGGGATTATTGTGCCCTACAATGCATCTACTGCCTTAACTTTTTCCACCGAAATCGCTGCAATGTCACCATGACCAACGAATCGTATACACATATCTTGCTGTCAAAAAACTGGGCGTGTCCCAGTTGTGTACCTATATTTGTTAGTCGTTATGCACATATTAACAAAGATATTAACAAAGATATTGACTACGACAAATTGTTACATAAATTAGCAAAACTCCTCAACCCCTTACTTTCTCAATCTATTGACACATGTAGCTACACTAAATTATTTAATTACCTTACGAGAATGATCATTAGGCTAACCGATAAATTCGGAATTGGTTAACTGTAACTTACATCCTTCCTCATTTTGGTTACGATATGTATGTTCCTGTAAGATTTGGTTCTCACTGTTTAACTCCTTTTTTGAATCTTGTGAATCCTTGAATTAATAAGCAACGAAAACCTGAATCTCAACCCGATTAACCCAATGTGTTTACGATTATGATTCAGCTGGCTGACCCAATTCAAGTATTTATTATATTTTTTATTTTTTATGAGTCCTTAATGTTGCTAATTATGGATATTTTTAAGTAATTTTTTGTAAAATCTATATTCGAATATGAATGTCTGCAGGTGTCCAGAGCTGGGAGAACAGTTCGCTGAAGCTCAATCGACACCTTAATAAATAAACCTATTTCAATTCAATTCAATTCAATTCAATATAATTTAAATCTCGACTGCATTGGAAACTCATACAAAGCTTGTTGAGCATTTCCGAATAATCGATTATATAAGAATTTACCAGAACAAAATGTTATATCAAATAGTCTGACAACAAACGCCGTTCATTCATTCATTAAATGAGTCGGGAAGGAAACAAATTATTATAATTTTTAAAAATAATGTTTCTGAATTTTAGTTTCATTTACATAACTACGCTACACAATTCACAATGAAATTAGCGCTATTCAACTGTGCATGGTATCATTTTTGTACTCTAGAGTAGTTTATTATTATCACAGTAATAATTCACACAGGTAATAATAATGTTATATATATTATATATATATATATTATTTTATACTCTGGTTGACACCATGGTCGGCCTTCTAGTCATGTATTGAAAGCATATTTGTTAAAAAATCTCTTCCCATACCAAACTCAGCCATGGAGGGTGAAGCATCCCTCCACGTGTTGGGAAGTGACGAAAGTCCAGAGATATTGCTTTATTTCGTAGCCTATGCCCAAGTGGTAACAAAGATTCGAATTATATTTATTGAAGACAAGTCAGGTTTAAAAATATATTATAAACTTTACAGACATCTACCCTAATATCAGTTATTGGATTAATAGTTTTGGGCATTAAGATGATGGACGGAAAACTATGCAAAGCAGGCTACTGCGATTCTCCTGACGATTTTAGTAAGATCAAAAAAATCTTTGATACCGTTTAATATATTAAATTAATCCCCTGCAAATGAAATTCGGGATATGTGTTTTTGCTCCAATGCCTCTTGTACCTTGATCATTAGGGTCATAACAAACTAGAGACATTACTTACATATTTAGATTCTGAGACAAACTTGTTAAAATTTCATTTTGCAAATCTTTCTTTATTTATTTAGCACATGGAAATTATGAAACTTGTTAAAATTATCAAAAATAATTAATCAACTAGGTACGGCTCTATTTTTAAATCGAAGGTGTAACTTTTTAGCTCTTGTTTATGAAAGTTTAAACTCTTTTTAAACGTCTTTTCTAACGTGACTAATAATTTAAAAAATGTCAAAATGACACACATACGTGATTCCTACCCTTAAATTAAAATTGTGGCATTTTATATGGAACCCAACCTCAGTATATAGGTTTTTCATAAGTAAATGTTTTTTTTCTTCTTACATGTTCAGATGACAAATACGGGTGGGCAGTTTACGGAACTCTAATATTCAAAATGCCTTTCTTTCAAGCTGGTGTGCACCTTGAGAAAGGTATCGTAAACGTAAGTGGGTACTTGTATAAAATTAACCTTGTTGTTTTAAATTCCTCTTACTGCATAATTCATCTAGAAATTTTTTTACAAATTAAATTTACCAGGAAGACCTAGGAAAACTAGAATATTGGGAACAATTCATGATTCTCGGCACCATGGCACATGTCGCTGGCAACCGGCTTCTAGTCCATTATTACGGGAACGATAAATGCGGCAAGATAATAACGATGGTAGACAACTGCCAGATTGCTTTTGACGTGTTCACCATAGTTGTTGTACACGATTATAAAACAAGACTGGAGAAAAAACTTTCCATCCTTCCCTCTACATCAACAAATCCGGTCATCCTTTCGGAACAACAGAAGTGAGTTGAAACATTTCCTAATCTTTTTCACATATTAGTTAACTCACAACTGCGCATTCTTTTAAGTAATTAACAATTTATCACCATATTGATATTAATTTTACAGGATGTCATTGACGAATTCATTACCATACATAGTGCTACATTAGAATAAACTACATACACACACCGTCCAGTAATCCTTTGTTGCCGGCATTCCAAGAGTGTATGGTTGCATAACGTCAGATAAGTAATATTGTTTTAACTAACCTGTCAAGGTTAGATACTTTTTACGCGCAAACAATTTAGTCTAACTAATTTCCATAAAAACTAATATTCTTGCGTAACGATTTATTCCGCAAAATTCAATTTTGTCTAAGTTTTGTCTAACCAAATCCGCTAAGCAATTGCACGTAGCAAATTTGACAAGATATTTTCACTTAATTTCAAAGGATGTCTTCGTTTTTAAGGATTATTTGTTTTTACATATGTATATAATAATGGAATGTTTACCATTCCATTTTCCTTGTATGTACTAGTGGCTATCAAGTTATTGCTAAGCAGTTTCGTCTATTTTTCCCAGCCTACACAGAATCAAATATTAAAAACTACATGTATGTGCACACATCATACACTTCTATAAATGTGTACCACAATCTAAATAGTAAATGTAGATAAGTTACATATATGCAATTATTTATAGCAATTAAGTTATTCACTATATATAATTGGGTAGATTCTCATTTTATTTGTTGTTAGAATTGGTCCATAACTGATGACAATTTGATGAAGAATTAATTGAGTTTTAATTTAAGATTACTGCTGAGCTTATGAAAAATGGTAAAATTAATAAATTTAGATTATAGTCAACACTCTTGCCCACACCATTTCTAAGTTACAAAATAATTTATCACCCGAATGTTACTCCAAATTACTTTTACTTAATATGTATATCGTACTAATTCACTGGTGGACAAGCCTACTTTAAGTAACAATAATATTGATTTAAACATTAATTATTTACAGCTGGTATGTTTTACACCAAAACACATTCCAAAAATCACACGTCATACTAAGTTATTTCAATCCGGTTAGCAAGTTAAATGAACTTCACGATCATTTTTTTAAAGATAAAACTGTGCCAAATTTGCATGGTGGTGGTTCTATGAAATATGTTAAAAATAAAAATCCCCCAGTTGTCAATGACAGTACCCAATTACAAGTATTACATAAACAAGGTCCCCACAAACGGGAAATCTTAGTGACGCTTGTGTGCGATAACAGGGAATATGTAGATGCACTTGGTTGCAGAACATTTGCATCACCACTCCTGACCAACTGACCCACACCTGCAACCACCCTCATCATTTTTAATACCACATATTAATTCCAACTCTTTCATATAATTTCAAGTTTTTATTCCCATTCGCTGAAATAATTGAATTAAACTTCCACAGAAGTATATATGTTGTAAATCTTTATCTTTGAGGGGTATAATTTCCATAATGTTGGGTCTCCAGAAGGGTGTCTTTCCTTACAACTGGGAGAGTCTAAAATAAATATATGAACTTTTATTTTCAAACATATAAATTTAAAAACATATAGATCTAACATAAATAAGTAGAAAATGTCTTCAATTGAAACTGTAACCTCTGCCAACCTATGTATTCAATTAAAATATATCATTTTACTGAAAATCAATTAAGGGACTTTTAACTTTTGTAAAATTTAATTAAATTTTGAATAACTGTAAGGTTTCGGTGATCCCATTTAAATTGATTTTTATAATCCATCCGATCGGGTGAGTTAATTGTCAGAAGACTATACCATTATATTTACTGCATTTAATCATTGAAATCCAAGTATTTAAAAATTTTAACGATTTATATTGGGTAATATAAAGTTTGAAATTTTTTTTACAAAATTACAAAATTTTCCAAAATCATATGTATATTATCATAAAACGATTTTACCACTATTTTAAGCAATCTTTAAATTAAAATAATTACCACAACTGGGTAAATTTTGCATATCATAATGAAATATCTAGAAATTAACTTCTTACTAAACTCACCTTCCTACAAATAAAACGCGATCGGCTAGACGAACTTCAAATATCATCGTAGTTAAAAAACGGCGTCCAAAATGAACTCAAAATGACAATTTCGTCCAAAATATTTTATTTGCCAAAATACAAACTTCTTCTTCACAAAATTTTGCCTTCCTTACATAATTTTCGTCCAGTTTGAACACCACCTTTTTAAAAGCAGCAAATTACAATTACAAAAATATTATTATCGCAGATTCCCCGATGGTGTCATAACTTTACAAATTATTATTTCCGTAAACTCCCATTTTTTTCCAAAATTTGCAGTTTTTACAATAAAGACGGACATCACAGGTATATAAGCCTGGGGTCGGGCTAAATGGAAAGAATGTAATACCTATGATAGCAATTTTTTAATCAATATCTTCCGAATCTAACTCATCGTCATCAAAATATATCATCCCATCAAGTAAATATCTGGTCGAGTTCTTCATAGCTTGAATATAGCCGTAAAGATACGAATCCACCATTTCAACATAGTTGATTACTTCAGGAAAGTGGACAAATAATTCTTCCCTCAATAGTACATAATCCTCAATGTACTCCCTTTACAAAAAAAATCAGACTTCAAGTATTTCCAATTCAGTAATTGTTTTTAAGAAGTTGTAATTATCATATTGTATTCTCACTGTAAAATTTTAAGCTCCTCCTCAAACACTGATAGCGGTTCCTCTCCCCACCCAATCCTTTGCATTATCATCCCATCAGGTTCCCCTTTTATTATGTCCTTCTTAAACCCAAATACATCATTTAGTCCGGATGAAATGTGCAACGCCACACTTTTAAAGATTTGAAGTTGTGGCGATGCCAAAACCCAGGATGGCAAAGGACCATAACGGACGTTGTAAAAATGTTCGGCAAATATGGGAAGGGCATCGTCCTGCATTTATAAATACGAGTTATTGTTAAATATGACATTTTTGTTTGAATTGGTTGCACAAATTTTATAATTAAAAAACCATGGCACGAAAACGTCTCACAACATCCATAGAATACCGGCGAGGACTGGCATGCATTTGATTACGAGAGATCCAGTCACATGTCATCATGTTTGTTGCAACTGTAGTAATCTGACTGAGGTGGATAAGTAAACGGACAATTATAAACTATTGGCATATTCGTTAATGTAGTCCCGATAATATTCAAAAATCTATTTCTAATCACCTTGAAATCCTTTTCACCAAATCTGTTGGATCTGTTAATCCCAAACTCATAAAGTTCTTTATCATCAAGATGCAAAAACTTTGAATGAATGGTTCCACTCGTATGGATTCTGCCGCATATAAATCCATTTCTAAACCTACACAAATTATACAAAATCATTAACGAAGCAAATATTAGACAATTTCGGCTTACCCAATCGCAACAAAGCAAGGACAGATTTTAGTAAATTTTCTTTTATGGGTCGAAATTCTTCCTTGATGTATTTTCCATCTGTGTCCAAAATATCGTCATAAATCCCTCCCAATGCTATTGTCCTTGCCGTGACGAGAACAACGGGCTCATGTAAGTCCATTCCGGGTAAGATCCAGAGCAACCCGGACATGACCTGTGTTCCAATTTCGGCCGAATATCCTTCCACGAACATGGATGGGAAACCCTCTTCTAGCCAAGTACTTAGTAATTTAGCTTCTGATGCTAAATTTTCATTTTCATGGATAGATTTTGAATGTCGAAAGTTTTTTGGTTTAAAGAAATTTATTGTTTTATTTATTTTCCTCCCTGCGAGTTTAGTTAATGAATTTTTAATTTTTAAAGGGAGGCATGTAGACGGGTTGGAAAATGTAAAATCAACATTTAAGTTTATTCTCTTCATGGCAGATTGAAAAGTAACATTTAAAATAAAAATTTGAAACAAACTAACTGCTTATACAAAAGTCGAGGCTCTTGTGCGTGTCTCACTTTATTTCACCACGTTCATAAATAATAAAATTTCTTCAATTATTTTAAATTTCCATTAGTATATATAACTCTTAAGTTCAACTCGCATGCAATTGTTTGGTTGTATATATCTACGACCAAATATTTATATATATTTTTCCTGCATCGTCATGCATGATTCACGAATATTACGAAGCCAACTAATATCTGATTTTTATTAATGCTTGTTGTAATAGTATGAATATAAAATTGGGCAAATTAAAATTTTATACCAGGTGCACCATGTGTGACCTATTCGTTTTGACTAGATTTTTTCCCACACGTCGCCAAGTACGGTATTTATGTGTGAACAAATGTCATTTGTTGCAGAACCATTTAAAACTCTAGCATCTCACACTTAATTACTTCACGAATTTCTTTTACGCACATGCAAAAATACGTCATATGGATGAGTATTTAATTGCCATTCGAAATTATGCTTGGATACTTTTGACGTAATTAATAGATACGTTGCTTAATCTAAATAAGTTGATATTTAGACTAAAATGACAATTATATGTGATAATGTGAATACTTATTTGCATTGGGTTCATGATGGGGGGATTACTTACATGGGGTAGTAATTCCAGCAGGAAACATTGCTATGGGATAAGTATATGCATAGCTAACGACTTCCAATAATGAAATTCAATATTGTGTTCACAAGGCATTTTAGTTTTAATATTTTAATTAGACAAATTTTATGACCATTTTTATAAATTTCGTAATTATTAGTTGGTGCCGTATTAATTTTTATATGACGTTATTGTACTAATTTTCAATGAATTATAAGTATTTAAATAGTTGCTATTTATATCTAATTGTAAGTGATTTAAAGAAATCATAAATTTTTGCATCACTGTGTTTAACGAATATGTACAATATGCTCACACGCATTTTATTTCAATAATTATTCTTAGGCAGACAAATTGTTACTGTTAGAAAAGTGTCAAGGTTTTTCATAATATAACTGTTCGTAATTTCCTACCACGACAGTAGACAACCCAGACACTCCATTAATTAAGCACATCTTACAAATTCCCACCATTGTTCCGGACTACCAATATCGGGTGGGAAAATGTCCAGATTAACTCCTCCTCTATCGTTGGCTATCCTGTACATAGTTTAAAGTTATACATGCAGTAACTTTGCCAAAGGTTAGAAAATATCTTTCTTGTGATAGATAAAACTCTGAGAGAGTTGCAGGCACTTTAATCCTTCCTAATTTTTTATTCTTTGTCGTAAAATTCGTGGTTTCAATTATTTAAGCATCATGTACTGTAGTCACGTCAATTAAACTCAATAATTATTTCACAAATATTTCGACGTACCCTGTGTATCGTATATTTCCAGGATTTGACAGGTGAGTTTGAAAAATTGTATGGAACTGTGTACCAGGTACTGCATCCAATCGCCAGTATGAGAAAAGGCCAGGTGGGGCCGTGTATTCCTACAAAATACAAGGAAATACAGATACAGCAACACATAAATTAGGTAAAACTATTAACTTAGAACTTACATGAATGCACGGGTAAGGTCCACCTGAACAGGGGGAAATTCTATATCCACGAATAACGCCGGCCCAACGCATGAGATGAAGTCCGTTAGTGGCTACCAAAGTTCAGTAATGTTATCACATAATTAGTCAAGATAACGTGGTAACATGGCGTTACTGTGTGAAATTACGATACATGATGCTTCCTCACGCTGCTAAAAATTTAGCGTAAAGCAGTCATAATGATTTTAGTTAAATTAGATTTGTGACATTAAGGCAGATATCTTTTTAGCTAGATTTTACCAATAGATTTGAATTTTGCGCCAATCATTGTTACCATTTTATTCTAATTCCAAATAAGTTGGGATGGATTACCATTGTATTCTAATTGGTAAACCTGATTGGGATGTTGGCATTCTGGTCGATAAGGCATGGAATGTATTATAATTCCATTAAGTGGACTATCGTAGTGCGCACGGACGACCACCTAAATATAATGAATTTATGAAAAGCATAAAGATATTTATTTATTATTAAGATAGTATTTATTATCGAACTCCATATGCTTGATTGACAATGATGTAACGTCCGGTCTGGATTGGGTTCAAAAATGTTTTCCCTATTGACTGTGGTATTGTAATTCTACAAAACAATTAGTACCCCTAATTAATTTCCTGCTTGTACTACTTAACTTAATTTAATCTTACGAGGTTTTATGAGCACGTTTCGAATTTCCGACACACACCATAATATTCATCAGGGCAATGACGAAAGTAAAATAGACATGTTTAGGTGAACCCATATTTGATTTTATTTACTACTACCAATTGTTGGTATTGTATTCACAAATATCTATAGAAAATTATAAAAGACGTCTTGTAAACAATGTGCTTGTTTATTATCTAGTTGAAAAGTAGAATTCTTAGAGCAAACATACGTTGAGTAGTAAGTTTTCAGATAATTTTATGTCTGCAAAAGCTGTCCAAAAATCAGAAATTCTTGTACATTTGTGAGAAACGAGTTGCAATTTGACGCTACTCTTGCGTGACTGCCACACGTCGGAATCAATCCAATGAATTTATTTGCAAAGATACTTTTACTAACTGCTTGGTCAAATGCAAAGTCAGATAAGACTGGACGATTTCAAGATAGCTTCCTAAATTGGGTAAATCAGCATGACACTGAGTCAAATACTGAATTTATCTGCCAAATATAAAACAGCGTGGTCAATGTTTATCTACGTAGCAATACTAGATATCAACTGAAACGCAGTCATGAGCTTGTTGAGTGCGACAAGCACGTATGGATATGTCAATTTGTTTATCAATTTAATTTATTGCAGATTTTCCTCAATATGTCGAAAATTAATTAGAATGGAAAAACCGACTGACCATGATAATAAGGATAATGATAAGTAAATTTAATCATTCTTGGAAATCCACATTTATGCGAAAAGAACTTTTAACCTTAGTTAGGTCATAAAAGCCTGGTAACAATTAGAGCTCTGGTTGCCCTGGGCATGAAAATAAATGACGGGAATTTTTGGGCAATTGCTGAGGGCATACATTCCCTAGGCATTTATTTATAACATTGGGCATATGGGGGCATTACTTTAATAGGGCAATTTAATAGGGATAAGAGGCAAATGCTTGATGATCAAATCACGATCACCAAAATCCCCAGGGCGCGGGCAACCCTCGAGCCCTAATTACAATACGATTTAACAATTGTACTAGTAATCAAAGTAATGAGCATATTCTTACTTACATTTACACCAGTCATGTTCTGTAGTGGTTCGCCGAACCACCGCTGGTTTCGAATAGAGACAACGAACCGAACCAAACCACTTGTGCGGTTCGGTGCGGTTCGGGCAAGTTGTGAAAAGTTACTGGTTTGGTTTGGCTCGGTTCGGGAAATTTTATAAAATTTAGTGGTCCGGAGAAACTGTGATAATTTATTGGTTCGGTGGGCACGGTTCGATTTTAGTAAGGAACAAGACTGATTCACACACACATTTCTACGGGCATGTAATAAAACGTCGCCATTAACATATGGATTTCCCCCTATTAGTCATCGAGTTTGACCCTAAATGATACTTGCCCGAACACAATACTTTTTTAGCCCTATAATTATATTTGGGATCCTATTAATTAAATTAATACCCACTTCATTAAAAACACGTATAAATATACATATCTTTGGTAAAAAATTTAAAATTAGTTTCTTTTTTCCATATGCACTACAAAAAATGTCCAATTTGAAAATTTTGACCATAACAGTGATTGTTCGCTTATAAGAAATACGTTAATATGCGTAACTATTCTTCTACCGTCACCAAATCCTATCATATTCTCACACATTCTATATGGCTAACCGTTAGTAATTTTTAAGTTCAATGTCTGTATTCAATTCCTAAAGTAATGACCGGAAATTCAATGATGGAATTTATAAACAAGGTCCCAAAAATTGGGAAATCTTAGTGACGTTTGTGTGCGATAACGGGAAATAAATACATTCTCTTGCAAAACGTTTGCATCACCACTCCGTTAATTAGACTTATATTGTTGGATAATGTAAAAATTTTGATGATTTTTGTAGCAAATGTTCATTGATAGAACTTGCATTTTTACGAAGTACACAGCGTTATCATGGACAACTTGCCAATGCTAGCAATATTTAGCCTTTGCATAATGTCCATTCATATTCTGTAGTTCAAACTTGAATAACTCTGTCAATTCTCAACTCCTTCTAGTCATCTTGGAACTAAAATTTTGAGAATAATATGCTCTAACTGGGTTTTATCAGCGAAACTTGGAACATTACTCAGTAACTAACAATAAATATGAATGTGTTTCCTAGCGCACATTTTAGCTTATAAAACATTTGAAAATCAAAGAATCGCTTAAGCAAGCCAAATCTGGTCCTAACATGGTATAACAATGATCTGGGGCCGAATTTCATCAAAATTGGTGGTGATTTGTAATGGTAACTAATCTAACGTCATTTTTTTGGGTGGTGCAACTACATACTTAGTAATTTTTTGTTGCTAGGTATTTACGTCACTATGAAAAATAAGAAAAACCCTGGCCCTGGGATTATTATATAATGGTCGATAATATATGTATGAATTAACCTCATATTATTTGATTGTATTATCAATGGAACTATCATGACCAATTTCGGTTCGATTGGAAGTTTTGAAAACTAGTGTTGGTAAAAGCATACTGC